CCAGAGCCTGACGCGGGGCTCGAACTCACGGACCGCGAGATCGTGACCTGGCTGAAGTCGGACGCTTAACCGACTGCGCCACCCAGGCGCCCCTCAAGCATTTCTTTAACTCCTGAGTTCTCCTAACTTAACGGAGCCAACAGCAGGGTTAACGAAGAAGGTCTAAACTTAACGTCGTGAAGTGCAATTTTACAGTACTGTTCTGTGTACATTTTATCTCTATCCGTAGCCCCCCTTGCCCTTCTCTCCTGTGGTCTCTACTCTGAGGGGCAGATCTGTGTCACCATTGGGCTCCCATGCTCTCTGCCTTCCGGTTGGTTTACCCACTCGGGAGACCTGTTAGGAAAAGCGAAGAGAGCGAGGGCAAAGTGAGATCAGGGTATTTATTCTCCTGGTTCCTTCCAGGGAAGTTGCCTCAGGCTGACAGTGTCCCTTGAGAAAAGATTACCGCGCCTCTCAAGGTGGTTTCTCCTGATGATTCCCAGCTTCTGGACACTTCTCCTTCCCCTGAATTCTTGGTCCCAGATGTAGCCAACAGCTCCAATGCCTCAAGGTCCAATTTCCTGTATTATTTTTGGTGACTTTCGTTTACGCTGATTATGTTCTAATTTGTTCCTTTGTAAATAAATCTCCTAGATTATCCAGGCCAGATCACAGAGGAACATGTATGTCAAGCTAAGATATTTCAGAGGACAGTAGGGAGGCATTGAAGGGTTTAAATGAGGGATTGGGGTGATCATATTTATATTAGTTATTGCTCTCTCTGTAGTGTAGAAGTTGTGTTACAAAACAGACTCGAAGCAGTGGGGCTATACGGTCTTTTGCAGGTATGTAGGTGAAAAATGACAGAGCTTTGCAGTGGGAATATGTAAAAAGTGGGAAGGAGTTCTGTATGAGAGAATTTGGTAACCGCCTATGTATGGTATTCATCGAGACTTAAGGAAACATCTAGAATATTTGTCAGGTTTTCCTCATGGGATAAAGTTGGTAGTGGTTTTATTACTTATTTTCTAGGGCATTGTTTGTATTTTATGAAATGAGCTTCAAGAAAAGATAATGTGGTCCTTAAAAGAAAAAGACGATGTGGTATGTTTGTTTTTAATATATTAAAATAAAGTACTTCAGAGAAGAATTAATAGGGCATCTCCATCTTGGACTCACAACGATACCAAAAAAATTGCCTCAGGATAAGGCTGTCTTACAAAATATAATCAGCATGGATCCTTAGATATTGTTACATTTCCAGGATGCCTATCTGCTCTTGGGTTGCCTCAGAAGAAGACCCCAGGAAAAGGTTTTGAGAGTGCATGGTTTATTTGGGAGTTGAGGGGAACAGCCAGTAAGGCAGGTAGGCAAGTCAATAAAAGATGGTGCGTTATCAAGCAGGTTCCTTCTTTGGGTCACTGGAGCTTTATCCCACTAGGAAAACTCTGGAACCCTTGTAAAACACATGCTCCCCAGTTACATACCCTGGTATGAATGGGACTCAAATATTCATGCCCCAATACCTACCATCGCTTCTTCCTTACAGGCTGCTCCTGGGAGGTGGGGCGACGGGAACCATCAACTCCCTGGTAGATCTGGCCGGCCACTCAGATGGCAAAACAAATTCTTTGGGGCCCCACAAAGCCTTTGAGGAATGAATTTCCAATGACAGTGTCAGAAGTCAGGTTGTTGGGCTCTCAAGTGCTAAGGGCAAGGCAATTCAGGCGTTCTGCTATCGTACCTTTCTAAATGATTATTCATATTTGACTCTGGGGATTGGGAACAAGACAGAGCTGAATATTTACGTATACTACTGATGTTCTAGGTCACCTTCAGGAAGATAACTTAACCTCCTGTTTGCCACTGAACAAGAAAGGAATTCGATTGTCCCTTATCCTAGCTGTAACACAATGAACAATGTTTTAAATGAGTACTAGAAAGAGTGGGGAAATCTTTGAATGTTAAAATTCAGATATCTTCGGGGCGCCTGGGTGGCGCAGTCGGTTAAGCGTCCGACTTCAGCCAGGTCACGATCTCGCGCTCCGTGAGTTCGAGCCCCGCGTCGGGCTCTGGGCTGATGGCTCAGAGCCTGGAGCCTGTTTCCAATTCTGTGTCTCCCTCTCTCTCTGCCCCTCCCCCGTTCATGCTCTGTCTCTCTCTGTCCCAAAAATAAAATAAATGTTGAAAAAAAAAAATTCAGATATCTTCTCCAGATCTGCATTCACTCCTATATATTCATTTTTTTCCTTTTATTCCAGTTGAAAGAATTCAGAGTCAGTGGGATGAAGTACAGGAACACCTTCAGAACCGGAGGCAGCAGTTGAATGAAATGTTAAAGGATTCCACACAATGGCTGGAAGCTAAAGAAGAAGCTGAGCAGGTGCTGGGGCAGGCCAGAGCCAAGCTGGAGTCATGGAAGGAGACTCCCTACACAATGGATGCGATCCAAAAGAAAATCACAGAAACCAAGGTTAGTATCACAGATATGTCCTTAAAATAAAATACCAGTTGTACTGGATAAAATTATAACATGGATGAAAATTGAATGATTTTTAAGGTAAACGTATGAAAAGAAAATTGCGTTCAGGCTGAAATGAACAGTACACTTTTCAGTCAAGGTAGAGATTAGAGGAAAATTAATGGCTAATAGCAAACTTAAAATTAATTTTGTTTAATCGGGATATCATAGGCTGCTTTTCAGAATATACCATTTTTTGAGATCACTTCATAGCTGATGTCCAGACTTATGTGGTAGCATGAAGGCAGGGGGTTGGGATTACTTCCTTCGTAGAAAAAGGAACAGGTGTACTCCTTCCTAAGTAGGGCCCTGAGTGGAGAAGGGAGGAGATGTGTAAGGTAAGGCAAGGGTAAGGTGTACTCTCACTTTCTCCTCCAGGTCTTTGACCTCCAGACCAATCTCTCTACTTCTTTGTCTTCCTTCTCTTCTTCCTCTTCTTTCCCCCCAAAACTCCATCATGTATCTGTCCATCTCATGATCTAGAGCTCCCTGGGATACAAGAAAGAGAACTGGGAAAGGAAATAATATTTGTTTAATGGCCATGTTTTATCAAGCATCACGCATGGTGCTTTCGATGCATTTTAATTCTCTCCAACCTCATATTTATGGGTCAGTTGGGAAAGACCTTAAATGCTAAGCAGAGAAGTAGCACAGTGGGAACTTGATTAGATTGAATTTTTGATTAAAACCCTCTATAGATTTTTTTTTTTTTCTGGTGGAAAAAGGCCTTCTGCTAAACAATTGTCTGAATCACAAATTAGCTATGTCATCTGAGAAAAAGAGCCTTACATTGTGGTTTTCTTGGATGAAGTGGCTTCCATTTCTAAATTAGTCAGTGTTTAGGCTGTGCCGAGCTACATAGCATATGTGTTTGTGCTAGGTTTATTTAAAAAATAAACCCTGATTTCTCAAGAATTTAATATAATAATGATTAATTCCTTGGTTGTGTCATAGTACAGTGCAGGCTGAAGAGTCCTTCCTGGGAGCGCTCTCATAAATAGTGACTTGAGGAATCCAGGCTTTTCCAATTTTGTGGAACTGTCATCTTGAACTCATGGCTGCCCCAGGTCACTGCAGGAGAGTAAGAGAAAACGTGGCCAGTTTATCCATGGGGTTCTATGGACAGGCCTGGAGATTATGTACATCATCACTTCCACCCACATCCCATTGAGCAGAACATGCTCCCAATTTAACATCAGGAAGAGTAAATGGGAAAAGTGAGCTAGTGAGTTTTTAGCTACACTCTGCCGTAGCTACTTCTCCAAAGGACCTGAGCTGCTATGAGGACAAGATTTTTGTTTACATGACAAGAATGTTAGAAAGTCCCATAGGATTTTATAGGCTTATCATTAGCTCTGTTGGAAGCAATTATTTCTTTCACGTGGTAGGTACATGTGGCCACTAAGATTTTTCTCCTTGGGGTGTACATAGAAGATGTAGGAATTTCTAATGATGATGTTCCCAATTCTTGGTTTGACTATGGGAAATATAGAATTCACGTAGCTACTCTTGAAGGCTGTGGTCTTACCCATAAGGTATTCGGTATGCGATGCGATTCGCTTTTCCTCTCCAAAAATTGAGGATTCTACGAATCTAGCAGATCTTGAAACAGAGTGGTTAACTGGTGGAGAGGAATTAACAAGGGAAAAGAGTTTGGACTGGACCCTTGAGTTGGAAGAGGGGTAGAAGAGATGACAGGCATATAGTGATAAATTTGATAAGGACAAGAAGACTCTGCAAGTTGGCACAGGAGAAATCTTAAAACCTACAAGAATCTTAAAGTGATGGCAAGAGTGATTAGGGTTTTATAGCTCTTAGAAAAGCAAGGGGCTTAAAAATAAGAGATGAAAAGAGTTGCAAAAGAGAATATGAAAGGATAAAAGAAAACAATTTCATCGTCAAAATAAGTAATGTGTTTTAAATACCTAAAACAGAGACAAGATGGTATTATAATCGCTCTCCTTGTCATACTTTTAAAATAAAAATTTTGCTTTTGAATTGTCTTTCTAAAATGTCATGATAAAAATGGCTCAGCCATTATCTATAGAAACTGATGTATATATATATATATATAT